CTACAGGTCTTCACATCTCTCACACCACCCTACTGCAGACGTTCATTACCGCTCACCCATATTAGTATAATGGCCCCCTAACAATGTTTCGCTGCCTGGGTATCTCCTCGCGATATTCCACTGCACTACCAGCACTGCTCCTGCTGGCTCACTATCGGCACCAAGTAAAATCTTAAACCCACAGTTTGACTTACAGAGCCCTCGGCAACTCAAATCCATCCTGATTTTCAAGCCTCATTTCTAGTTATTCTAGTTCAAATGGCACAAAAAGATTTAGTTACCAACTCAACTAACCTTAGCATATAACTAAACAGATGAAGGAAGGTACAAAGGTATATATGAGAACCACTTTTAATGGTTCCTCTAATGCATGATGCCTTCAGGATGCTTTGGCCATCAGTCAGTACATTTTATGGATGGCCTGAGGGATGTCTGTTACTTCAGTAAGACAAGTAAATGGAGACTAGTTAAGAGAACTTCAATACACTGCAAACAAAGACAGTCCTACATGAACATGTTATTTGTTGTAGGTCATTGAGTTGGTTCCAACTCATACCAATGCTGTATAAAGTTTCCAAGAGTGACTGGTGGGTTTGAACTGCCAATCTTGTTGCCAGCCCAGTGCTTATCCTGCAATGCCACACAGAGCTCTTCATGAATATATATAATGGTACAATTAATTTCAAAGTATATCTTTTCCTTAACTAGTAAAGAAAGAATTACATATTGCATAACCTTCTTGGCTCTGTTGGGAGCACGTTGACTCTGAAGGATACACACTGTACTGCGAACCACAAGTTCTCTCCAAGAGAAAGAAGAGGTTTCCTGCTGCTGCAAAGCTTGACAGCCTTGGAAACCCTACTCAGGGTTGCCATGAGTCAGAACTAACTTGAGAGCACAAAACAACACCACTGGCTCTGTAAGCTAAGCACTGAAGTATTAATCACAAGGTAGGCAATTCAAGCCCACTAGCCACTCTCACAAACCCTATATAGGACCACTATGAGTCGGAGCCGACTTAACACAACACAACAATATTCAGATATGTTCTTACTTGTCAGGCTAGCTCCAAATTCTGGATCCCAGGTTAGCCATGCCTTCAAATGGATTCATCTAATAGGATCATTTATATTTTTTTAAATTCATGACTGAACCATAACCTTGTCACAGAATCATCATATCTTTGGAAGTTCATCCTTTGAACCTATACCCTATCTTCTTACCTATCAGTTTCTTTTAGCCATCCTTAAAGCCTGTTTGGATTTGGGATCATACACTCAACTTGTCCTGCAATATCTAGTGGTGGTGGTGTGCCATGGAGTCAGTTCCAACTCATAGCAACCCTGCGTAGGGTTTGTCAGGCAATAAATCTTTACAGGAGCAGAAAGCCTCATCTCTCTCCCGCAGAACAGCTAGTAGTTTTGAACTGCTAACTTTGAGCTTTGCAGCCTGATTTGTAACCACTATGCTCTTTTATGATACACCCAGACTTTTAAATAGTCACTGTCTTTCAAATAAGTGTGAGCTGGGTTTCTTCCTGCTTGGTATTCAATCTCACTTGTCCTGTGCTAAATATCTATCTTATAGCCTGACTTCTCTATATCTGCATACTTGCTTAATTCTTGTAAATATTTTTTTTCACAGTCTATAAACTAAATTTCCCACTTTGCAATGTTGTTGTTGTTATTAGGTGCTGTCAAGTTGGTTCCAACTCATAGAGACCATATGCACAACAGAACTAAACACTGCCAGGCCCTGCATGTGGCATCTTCACAACTGTTAGAATACTTGAGCCCATTGTTGCCACCACTGTGTCAATCCACCTCTTTGGGGGTTTGCCTCTTTTTCACTGAGCCTCCACTTTACCAAGAAGGATGCCCTTCTCCAGGGACTGGTACTTCATGGCAATATATCCAAAGTACCACAGACGAAGTCTTTCCATCTTCACCTCGAAGGAGCATTCTGGCTGTTCTTCCAAGACAGATTTGTTTGTTACTCTGGCAGTGCATGGTACTCTCAAAATTCTTCTCCAACACCATAATTCAAATGCATCGATTCTTCCAAAGTACTTTATGCACAACAGAAACTCTACCCAGCCCTGTGCCCTCCTCATACTTTTGTATTTGAGCCCATGGTTTCTACTGTGTCAATCTTATTAGGGCGTCTTCCTCTTTTTCACAGAACCTCCATTTTACCAAGCATGATGGGTTTGGTCCTTCCTGACAACATGCCCAAAGTACGAGAGACAAAGCATTCTGGCTGTGTTTCTTTCAACACAGATTTGTTTGTTTTTCTGGCAGTCCATGTTACTTTCAATATTCTTCTTCAACACAGTAATTCAAATGCATGGATTCTTTAACAGCCTTCCTTATTCACTGTCCAAATTTCATATGCATATGAGATAACTGAAAATGCCATGGCTTGGTTAGTTCTCTGAGTTCTTGACTGATACTTCCTTAAGTGTTGACTGTAGAGACAAACAAAATGATAACTTCAGTCTTTTCTGGTTTATCATGTTATTCTCTAGTTGTGAGGAGTGTCATTTTCTTTACATTGAGGTGCAATCCATACTGAAGGCTATCGTCTTTTATGTTCATCAGTTAAGTATTTTAAGTCCTTTTGCTTCCAGCAAGTAAGATTGCATCATCTGCATATCGCAGGTTGTTAATGAATTTTCTTCTAATCCTTGTGTCATGTTCTTCGTCATGTAATACAAATTCCTGAATTATCTGTTTAGTATACAGATTGCATAAATATGGTAAAAGGATACAATGCTGGCATACATCTTTTCTGATTTAAAACCATTCAGTATCCCCTTGTTGTGTTCTAACAACTGCCTTTTGGCAAGTTTCTCATGAGTATAATTAGTATTATGGAATAGGCATTCTTTGCAATGTTATCCATAGTTTGTTTATATCCACACAGTGGGAATGTCTTTGCATGGTCAATAAAGAATAAGTAAACATCTTTCTCGTATTTTCTTTTTTCACCCAAGATCTATCTGACGTTAATAACAACATCCCTCATTGCACATTCTCTTCTGAATCGGAGACTTGAGTTTCTGGCAGTTCCATGTTGATGTACTGTTGTAGTCATTTTGGATTATAGTCAGCAAAATTTTACTTGCATGTGATAGTAATGATATCATTTGATGAATTCTGCATTCTGTTGGGTCATCTCTCTTTGGAATGAGCACAAATACGAATCTCTTTCAATCAGTTGGCCAGGTAGCTACCTCCCAAATTTCTTGCTATAAACAAGTGAGCGCCTCAAGTGCTGCATCAGTTTTTCGAAGCATTTCCATTTATAATCCATCAATTCCTGGAGCATGTTTTCCATTAATGACTTCAGTGCAACTTGTAGTTCTTCCTTTAATACCATTGGTTCTTGATCAGATTGTACCTCTTAAAATAACTGAATATTGATCAATTCTTTTTGGTATAGTGACTTTGTGTGTTCTTTCCATGCTTCCGTGTGAGCCAGCAGCCTGTTTGTCTGGCTTGCTGATTTGGGTTCAACGGCCCCTGCAACCACATGAGTCATGAGAAACCTCCAGCTGAAGCCTGACCCACAGATTTGGGACTTGTCAGCCTCCTCAACTCTTTGAGCCATTCCCTTGATGGTTCGTGAGTTCTGTGAGATGCTGCAGCAAACTACAGAACCAAACATGAGAGTGAGAATACTGAGGGCAGGAGAAGGAGTTGATGTTAGAGATGATGGAGTTGGACAGTAGTTTGGAAAAGCTGGACATTTGGGACATTTTTAAGCTCTGTTTGTATGAACCAGCTGTTATGTTGATATAAAAGTAATCATTCATATAGTCCAATGCATTTTTAACAAATGCATAATGTCAGTTGTGTCCCTATTAAAGTATCATATGGAATAGTTTATTATAATCATTTTAAAAATGGATAATGTGAATATAGTTTAGCTTTCATGTTTGAGAAAACAATCAAAAAGATTACTGTTTGATCTCTATGGCCTCATTCCTGGTCTATAACCTCTGTGTCATTTCCAAATCTGTAGTTTGTAATAAAAATATTACACCTTTAGAAAATGCCATTAAATTTTGAATTACCTCGCATGACCAGAAAATAATCAATGCCAGGCTTTTAATGTCTCTCAAATCTTACTTAAGAAAATAGAAACAATACTTTTTCTTGTTTAAATAAAAGCATCCTTTTGACTAATTACATCACAATGAATAGATTACACTAATCTCTGATTCCTTAATAACAAAGAATGAAACTTCCAGTCAATTATTTCAAAGTATTTTCAAGCTACTGTAAGTGTACAAGAATAAATGATGATAAACAATGTATGCTGTACTCACTGTGGAGAAAAGTAATGAAAATGATAGAAAAAAATGTATGAGTGGCCTTTCCTTTTGTTTAATCTACTCTAATAAAATTGCTTACAAAATTAGCCTTCCTTCCCAGCTGTAAATTAGTGTCACATCTATTTAACATATGGTTTCTAAGATAAAATGTTTATCGCCTAAGCATGTCCTTTATTTAAGAATACGCTTCAAGTGTAAGAGAAAGAAATTAAATAAACATCATATTCTGGACATATTGTCAGGAGGGACCAGTCACTGGAGAAGGATATCATGTTTGGTAAGGTGGAAGGTCAGAGAAAAAGAGGAAGACCCCCAGAGAGATGGATTGGCAAAGTAGCAGCATCAATGGGCTCAAGTGTGGCAACAATTGTGAGGTTAGCCCAGGACTGGGCAGTGTTCAGTTCTGTTGTGTATAGGGTCGCTATGAGTCAGTACCAACTCAACGGTACTTAACAACAACAAATCACAATAAAATCTGTTAGAGATTTTTACAAGGAGGCTTCAAAAAGTTAGTGAAAAACTGGAATAGGAAAATCATGAAATTTTTTCATGAATTTTTTGAAGCCCACTCTTATATGAGATGTTCTCCTAGGCATTTCAAAGATAAAAGCACAAGGTCTCATACACCCACAACCCAAAGAAGCAAGCATTAAAAACATACCAATTTCTTCTACTTCTTCCAAGAAGTCATTATATTCTCGTAGACTAGGAAAATCTTCTTCTCTTTTATTGTATCTTTAAAGAGATGTAAGAGAGAAAAATCAACATTTAACATGTTACTTGCTTTTAATATTATTTTAATACTGTAATTAGTATAATATTATTTCAATATATATTTGTTCTTACTTAGTTAATACATGATGCATAGAAAAAGACTGATTATTACATAAAACACTGTTTTCTTGACACCAGGATCTTAAGTAAACAAAGAATGCTGTTCTTAAATTCTTACACCTACTTAAAAGTTAGAATTAGGAGAATATGGATCAATATATAAAATCCTTCTAAGACTTATGAGAAAAAGAAATTAGGAGTTTGAAGTAATGAACAATAAGCATAAGCAAGCTTGTAATTGGAAATTTCCTTCTTAGAAACAGATTCACTAATTTCCAAAAGGAGTCCTGGTATGGTGTTGTAAGATAAGCACTGGACTGATAACCACAAGGTCGGTGGTTCAAACTCACCAGCCCTTCTTTAGAAGTTATACAGCACTTGACAGCATTTAAAATTAACAATAACAATTTCCAAAAACCTACAACTTTTAAAGCGACCCTTTCCCCGTGTGGTGCTGCAGGATAACGCACTGAACCACAAGGTCGGTGTGAATAGCAAGACAGGCGGTTTAAATCCTCCAGCTGCTCCTTGGAAATCCTATACAGAGTCAGAACCAACTCAGTTAACAACAACAAAAATAATTTTAAACAAGCAATATCAGGAAATTCTAAAATATTGTGATATGCTATAAAGAATTAGGAACTGTAAGAGATTAACAGTAAAACATGAGACTTTCCCCAGAGATAAATAATAAAAGAGCAGCTTGAGGAACTGATAAATTAGCACTGGGTTCATGAGCTGAACTGCAAAATCAATTTGAAAAGCAAGGTCAGTGGTTCGAGCTCACCAGCTGCTCCTCAGAAACCCTACAGAGTCCCTATGGGTTGGACCCCAGTCGATGGCATTTAACAACAAGAACAAAAAAGTACCTAAAAAGATGCTATTAAAACCTTGTTGGTCAGGGTTGAAATGTATACCACCAAATTTCTTAATTTTTAAAATTTAAAAATCATTTTCATTTAATAAAGAAGGACAAAGTAACTTATAATAAAAGCACAGGAAATAAAACACAAAATACTAACAAGAATTAAAGAGGAAACTCTCCAGTCCTATTCACCACTAGATTTTTTAAATTTCCTCTACAATACAATGACTGTTTACTGGGAGTGCAGAGGGGTAATCTTTATACATTTTCTCAACAGATACAAAACATTCATGGGGACTTATTACAAAGAAGTTTCAAGAAAATTTTAAATGGCATTGGGGAGAAAAAGGCCAGTTTAGTTTCACAGCGGGGTTTTTTAAAGTCATAATAATATATGTGCTCATTATTCAAGGGTAGCAAAGGATGTCCTAGGAGAATTTCATTGGGAAGTCTTAGCCCATCCACCCTACAGCCCTAATCATGCCCCTTCACACGTCTTTTTTTCCTCCAAAACTCAAAGATTTAAAAGGAACAGGATTTGAGTTGCTTAAGGACGCCAAAATTGCCAGTTTGATGAGGTGTAAATCAAAGAACACAGGATTCTTAAGGGAAGTGTTAGAGAAATAGAACCACCACTTTCAGAAGTATACAGACCAAATGGAGGAGATAGCAAGAAACAACAGCCTCACGGTTTTGTAGCAACACTTTGTAGTTACCCTCGCACAACCAGATATTGGTATCAAAAATTGAAATAATTTTTAAAGTCCTCTATGTTGACTTAATCATTCAAGCACTAATACTTACATCTTAAGCACTTTTTTCCTAATCTCAACTTCTTTGTCAACAGTAGGATCTTCAAAGAGTTGAACTCTGAAGTTGCTCTTTCTAAGTGGAGTGCCACATTCAGGACAATTTCCAGCTCCTCTCACAAACAATAAATCCACACAACTTTCACATCTGTAAAGATACAAATACAACGTACCATTAAGGCTAGTATTCAATCTTGCATCAAATTTGTATATCGTTTGTCTTTTTTTTCTTTTAGAACACAAATTAATCATTACTGCTTAGAGTCTTACAAAAGCCTTTTGACATATTTTCAGTTTTATTTGGAGACTATACATAACGAATCGGGCTGCAAGCCACAAGTTCAGCAGTTCAAAACTACCAGCGGCTGGCGGGAGAAAGATGAAGCGGTCTGCTCCCGTAAAGATTTAAAGCCTCGGAAACCCTGTGTAGGGTCGCTATGAGTCGGAACCGACTCCACGGCACATAACAACAATAACAATACATAGATATGCCAAAGGATATTGTTGTTGTTAGGTGCCATTCGGTACTGACCCATAGCAACCTTATGCACTAAGGATATCAGTTAAGTTTTACTAATTAAACAAATTTACAAAAGAAACAAACTGAGCTGGTGATTAAGAGGACTCAGACAGTAAAGACAGACCAGTGGAAACTGAGAACCCAGGGACATTGTATTGAAGGAATTGCAACTAATGTCATGAAACAAAATGTGTATGAATTCCTGAACAGGAAACTAATTTGTTCTGTAAACTTCCACCCAAAATACAATTAAAAACCACAAAGAGCATTTAGAAGGTAGCAGGAGGGCTGAGCGCAAAGAGATCACCTCTCTCCCCAGTAAATGCCATCGCATCTCTCCCTAGTCCAGTGTCACATTTAGACCTAGGCCAGAGAGTCTGTCAGGGGCCCTGCACTTTGGGGAAGCCCTGGTTGCGAGAACTAAAACAAAGACTTTTTTCTTTCAACCTTTAAAAAAAGTTTTGTGGAAGCTCAGTAATCAACTGAGCAAACAGGAATTATGAGGAACGAGACCTCCAAACCAGAGGAAGCAGTGAACTGAGAGTGCTCCAGTATGTGTGGAAAAGGAAAAAAATCACCATGGTTTCTTCTCAGAGAAATCCAAGAAAGAATACTTGCTCATATAAATTTTAATCAGAGGTGACTGCCTCAAACCAACCACAATGCCTTCTCTCCTCTATTCTGGTTGTGTTGTTGTTAAGTCAATTCCAACTTACAGCCAACATGTATAGGGTATCCAAGGCTTTTTAAATCTTTGCAGGAGCAGAAAGCCTCTCTCCTCTCTTCTTAAGTGCCATAAAGTTGGTTCCAACTCAGAGCAACCTTGTATAGGGTTTCTGAGGAGCGACTGGTGAGCTTGAACCACTGACTCTGCAGTTCAAACCGGCTTTGTAGTCCAGCACATTAACCCACAGCACCACACCAGGGCTCCCTTCTCTTCTTAAATGGCGCAGTTTTGAGAAGAGTTTAGAACTTCCTGGAAGGTTTTAGGTAGAAAAGCAAGAGGGGAACCTCTCTGTACCAGATTCCCAGGGACTTAATGGGATTCCTATATTGTTTTAGATAAGTCAGGCATCATCAGTCATCCTTTTCTGCCCAAAAGAATCTATGTTATCACTCAGACAAGCAGATGAAAAGGTTAGCTTGCAGCCTCTGGGTCTTGAGTGGACACGCTACTAGAACTCAGGCTACAGTGTGGACATACAGTGTGGAAACTCAAGGACAACGCTTGAGCTATACATTTTCAATATTTAAACACTTCTTATGTAGCTGTAGGCTTGTGGAGTTGTATTTTTGTCCAACTGTGCTGAAGGATAAACACTGTATTGTTAACCACAAGGTTGGAGGTTCCATTCCACCAGCAGCTCTTCAGAAACCCTAAAATAGGGTCTCTAGGAGTCAGAATCTACTCCAAGACACTTAACAACAACAACATACATTAGTGCCAAAGCAGTTCTAATCACTTAAATATTATCCTATTTTATTTTCTTCATAGCACTTAGCAATATCTGAAACTACCTTATTTGTTTGTGTGTTCATTTTCTCTTTCGCCAAATAGAATGTATTATTTCATGAGTGAAAGGTTTTGGCCTACCTTCTTTATCCCCAGAACCTGATGCTTAGGAAGTACTAGATAAGCTTCACTAAACAAAGAAGTAAATATATGATAGAAGGAAAAAGAGAAATTCAAATGCATAAAGTCTATATTGAATCTGTTGCTGCACGGTTGTTTTGGTAGAAATGAAGAACATCTGTGTGGTCTCACCTGTGTTTCCTACTACAGGGATGTAGTAGGAAAAGGTCAAAACATTACAGCAGCCTTTTCAGATATCAATGTTGTTGTTGTTAAGTGCCGTGGAGTCGGTTCTGACTCATAGCGACCCTGTACAGGGTTTCCAAGGCTGTAAATCTTTACGGGAGCAGAAAGCCTCATCTTTCTCCCACAGAACAGCTGATAGTTTTGAACTGCTGACCTTGATGTTGGCAGCCCAACTCATAACCACTACGCTACCAGAGCTCCTTAAGATACTCTTTTTGACCTACTTAAAACCCAGAGAGTAGATTCTGGCTAATAATGACCCTGTATAGGCTTTCTCTAATGAGCTATGGTAGCGCAGTGGTTACCAGTTGTGCTGCCAACTGCAAGGTCAGCAGTTTGAAACTACCAGCTGTTCCGTGGGAGAAAGATGCGGCTTTCTGCTCCCATAAAGATTTACAGCCTCGGAAATCCTGTGCAGGGTCACTATGAGTCGGAAGCCACTCCACGGTACTTAACAACAACAACAATAGGCTTTCTCTGGACTGCAAAAACAAGGTCTGCAGTTCGAGCTGCCAGCTGATCAGTGGGCAAAAGATGAGGTTTTCTGCTTCGCGAAGATTTAAAAGCCTAGGGAACCCTATATAGGGACACTATGAGCTGAAACTCTCCGCAGCACTTAACAAATAGGTTTTCTGAGACTACAAAGCCTTATTGAAGCCAAGTGCCTTTCTGCTGAGGTGTATAAGTTAAGTGTATTGCCCTCTGGGCAGTTATCAGCAGCCCTGAAGGAGCTCTGTAACATTGCCTGAACAGAAGCCACAGGGCTGTGTGACTGCAGGAAGGACTGGGAAGAGGCTGTCCCAACTAAAGCCCTGTGTCTGAAGCATTTCTGATCCTGAATTTATAACCTGTTAGCTTCCCTAATGGTAAGTGCCAGTGAGCCCATCATCTTTGAATCTCTGAGTTCTGTGTGGCCATTACAATGAATTATCGAACCCAGCAGAGAACAGGAGAGTGCTGTTGGAAGCAAGATTGGTGTCAGAATTGGTAAGGAAGGCTGACGGGTGAAGACATGTCCGACCTCAGCCTCGTAGGTATCAGTCTTAGACTAATGTTGAGTTGGAGAGTCTCCTCCCCCATGATGTCAGAGAAGGTCAGATGTCATCCCACACCCTTCTTTACATCACTTAGCACTGTGCCAAGTGCCTTGTCAACTGTAAAGTCCTTTAGCGAATGGATCTGCAAATATTCAATGAGTACAAGAATATATATTCTCATGACCAATTAAAGAGAAAAAAAAAGGCCTAAGGTGCACCTAACCCAAGCCATGATATTTTCAATAACCTCATATGCATATGGATATTTTCAATAACCTCATATGCATGTGAGCATTGGACAATGAATAAAAAACACCATGGAAGATTTGATGCATTTGTACTTTCAGTTATGCCGGTTGCTGAGGCAGAGTCAGGTAGGACAGGCTCCATGGGGGAGAGACTGAACACCCAGAAAAACTGCTCTCATGGAACAGCACCAGAGCAATGGATCTAGCATAGGGTGCAAGGTGTTAGTTTCCCGCACACGCCAGTGAAAAAAAATCACGGTATAAAGGAAAATACTGCAATTTAGGAATCGCTCTAGGGTGGCCATCCCGCTGGGGCAGAGTTCAGAGGGCAGGGCTACAGTCAGACCTGCAAAGGGAACTCGTGCTAAAAGTGGTGCAGTGATATTTGCAAAAGGGGAATTTTACACATTCTACACATTTTTCCATCCTCTTCTCTGTCCCACCTTCTTTGCCCAACCTGGACGCCTTCAGGAGGGTGGGTGTGCACCCCCAGAAAAGGGATCCAGCTTTGAGCCCACAGTTTTTCCCACTGCACAGAGAGAAAGAGCCCTATCCGTCCTAAGGGCAAATTCTTTGGCTGCTGCTTATGACCTCAGCATCTGGGTCGCAGCCCTAAAATTAACTTGTGCGGGACCCTTTACTCCAGCATATCCAGCAAGAAAAAGCAGGCCTGTCAGACCTGACAAACAAACCATATGAACGATCTGTAAAACCCCAACATAAAAGGACGCAACTATCTCGCAAATTACTCTGTGCACAAGCAGATACCTAACTGACCTTCAGAGACAAAAATAGTAGACAATCTTTCTCCCATTAACTTCTCAATATCTATCTATGCACCTCTGAGGTGGAGATTAGAGGAGGGGCCTGAGCGAGTGGACACCCCACTCACTGCTGGAGACTTCTATGATGCACACATACTGCCTGTGTAGCAAGGTGACTGGCCACTCAGCCAGTCTTATTTTTGTTTCAAAGTGGTGGTCTTTGTCTCTGTTTTTATATTACTTCTGTTTTTGGCCCTTTTGATCACACACTTTTCCTGAATGAGGGAGCTTTTTCTCCCTATGTTACCCAATAAGAGACAGCAATCATGGCCATAAAGCCAAGCTACAAGCATACCCCATGATATTCCACCATTGAGACAAGCGCCAATAACAGCTGCTAAGCATTACATGCAAAAAGGGAAGCCTATCTCCTGATCATATCCACCAGGAAACACACAGTAAGCTTAATAAAACAGCAACAAACATCCATTTAAGCATTAAAAACTCACATAACTACTGGAAATGACCAATAAAACACAACAAAAGATCTCAAAACATGTCCAAAAACAGAAAAGAGTAACTGAGACAAAAGGATCTAGAGACAAAGGCTCCCCAGAAGAGGAAGAACAGGTTTTGGATTTGCCTAAGAAAGAATTCAGAAGAATGATATGGAAACAAATTCAAATGATCAGAAAAGGGGTGGAGGAAAACAAGGAGGAAGTCAGACAAGATCGATACAGCATTAGAAACTATTCAAAAC